TCCCTCATGTACAGCAGTGCATGGTGGGAGAAATGCTCTGTATATTCAGTTCCCCATGTAGTCCTCTACTGTAATACCCCTGTAAAGTGACTAAGGAAATCCCTTGCATGGGGAATCACATAAATACTGGAGCTGTGAATAAAATTGTCAGTTGACTCCCAGAACTGTGTTTCACCTGGTTACTGGGGGACTTGGGATATTGCCTTCTTTTTCAGCGCTTTACTTTGGATTACTTTCTATACCAGCGGAGATCTTGGGATTTAATATTGCAGCTCCACTACAGCGTTCATTCTTAATTTATCTTGAGGTGGCTGAGTTTAATGAGACTTTCAGTTCTTTATAGTTTGGAATGAAAAACATTGCATAATTTAGAAGGCCAACTATACTCCACAGTTGTTTTAGATTTTTTAGAGTAGAAATGTTAGATATCTTATCTTTGAAGCACGTAGTTAAACCATGACCTTGATTCGAAATTTCAAACCCTAGGTAGTCTACTGTACTTCTTGCTACCTGTGATTTTTTTTTTTAAGGAAATTATGTAGCCAGCAATTTTTAGTCTTTGCAGAACTGTTTTCAACACAACCACGTGTTCACTTTTAACGTCATGTGAAAAGTATATACCGTCCACATAATAATAATGCCGGAGAGTTTATAAAACCCTGCGGTAATATTGTCCAAACATACTGTTTACCTGCCCAGGTAAAACTAGTTAAATTATAACTTTCAGGACTGATGGGATGGCTCCAGAAACCATTGGATAAATGTAGTTTTATATTTTCCTCTAAACATATGGTGTAAAATAAATGGGATATGCATATTCTGAGCTGCTACAGGTGGTGTAATTCTGTTTAACTCTCTACAGTCTAATACCATTCTCCATTTATGGTCTGTCTTTGGTACAGGATAAACGGCGGTATTTATGGAGCTATATTGTTCCTTAATAACACCTTGTTTTAGCAGGTCATGTATCAATATCTGTATATCAGGCATTGCAAGTGGGTTCATTTTATATTGTGCTTGTTTTTAATGTGCAAGCGTACCTGTTGCCATATGATGACAAATGTCTTTCCTATGTCCTACATAATTTTCCCATTGTTGAAAAACAACCTTATTCTGCACTAGAATTTCTTTTAATTCTTGTTTATTTGAGAATGAGGTGTAATTTAGTTGATGTTTTATTTGTGAATCAACATTGGTACAGTAAGCTGTAATGTAGGTTTTGAAACTATATCCATAAAATGTGAAACATCTTTATATGTCATTAAGAACGGAACATCCAAACCAGAATGTTCAGCAAGTTCAAGTCTAACCTTTCTTCCATTAACCTTAATGGTTTCATGATATAAAGGATATGTACCATTGCCCTTTAATGTTTCAATAGTAAAATTAGAAAATGAATCGGCTTTTAATATGTTATAAGTGAAATTTCTGCTTGTGTATCTAAAAACCCTTTATATGTCTTCAGATCATATGTAATCTGCAAATCAAGATTACTCATCCTGGTTTAATTCTTGTTCTGGGTTTTGGCTCTCGGTTTTCTTAATTTTTTTTATTTTTCTGGTTGTTGCTGGAGGATGTGTAGGAGGGTGTGTAGAAGATGGGGTGGTAGTACATTTATCTTGTCCTGTTCCATCCCTATCCCTGACTTGTCCTGGGGATCCTCTGTATTTGGCTGGACCTTTAACCCTTGGTCTCAATCTATATCCTCCGCTATATCCAAGAAATTCAGAAATCTTGGTGGTTCTCCTTTGGTTGTTGACTGGTATCGTTCAATGCGATCTATATCTGTAGTCTGTTCTTTTTTCCTTTGATATGTCCTATATGAGGGATGAGAATAATCCCTGTTAGTGCCATCTATAGATGCAGGTGGTCTAAATTCCCTTTTTACATATGTAGAACTTTTTCTATCTTGCTTCTGCCTGTCTTTTCTATGGGTATATGCTGCATTATTTTTTTCTCTCTTTGTTTCCTGTTTTGTCTTTATTTTTATTTCCCTCTCCTGTAAGATCCTTACTTAAGAGTGTGTATGTGAGGATTGCAGGCATTCTGTCACTTTTTATCATTATCAGTCAATTCATGAAACCTTCTTTCTGTGTGAAGTATTACTAGTGGTTTCAAGCAACCCCCTACCATGGAATGATTTCTGCTTGTGAATATCATCCCTAGATTATGCCCTGACTTCGAATTCACTTCAGCTAGTGTGTCTGACAGTGTGGAAATTGTCACTTTGCCATAAGTCTTTTCATATTTAGTGGATTTTACAATATCCCAGTTGCCAGCTTCTGCTTGTGTAATTGAAAGTCCACAGGGCAGTAATGCATTTACTAGTCCCTGTCTCTGAACTGCAATTTGAGTCGGGTAAACCCCATGTAACCCCATCATGTGTTTTTTCATTAAGCCATAATGCTATTTCCTTAGCATATGTTGGTACTGTGCCAATAGTAGCTTTAATATTAGACATATGACTACCCTGTATTCCTCTCCCCACTGTGTGAACTATAAGACCACTAACAATTGATGCTATTAATGCTTCTTGTAACAAGTCTCTCATGAAAACAATTTCTGCCATTAACCTCTCTCTTTCTGCTCGTGCAGACTGTGCAGCTGCCGGTAGTTCATGGCTATGTACAGGAACATATAGTAATCCCCTACCCACACCCCACTGTCCTGGGACTAATGGACCATGCCTTGCTGGTGTATTAGGTATACTAGGGCGTTTACTGAATAGTTGTATATATGCCTCTCTTGTCATATTAATTAAGGTCTGTGTACTTAAATCTGGTAAAGTATTAGGTAGTCCCATAAATGTTGGCTGATTTAGATCCACATTTTCAGCATTAGTTAATTGAATTGGGGACAAACTATACATTCTGGGGATCAAGGAAATAACATTGCATCTCCACCCCACACTGAACTATACATGTCAATTACATGGATACCCGCCCCTAACAAGATGCAATTGGTTTACCAATACAAGCGTCATTAAACAAAGGGGCGTACATATCCTGTTTTAAGAGCTGGCACTTTAAGTCTACACCAAACTCTTGACAAAGGCTTATCCTAGTGCCGAAATGGGTTGAGATAGACTCCACATTTCTGTTGGTTTTGAAAATTTTGACCGCTCTGCAGCTGTTTCTCAGATATGGGTTTATCTAGCTCTTGATAGGCAGTTCACTACTCCTCCAGTTGAAGCACAGCATACCTGAGCAATACTGGATACCACAAGCATGATAAGCACTCAGTTGTTCAGTTGTTAACTACTCCTTAAGCTTAGCACAGAATACCGGAGTGATACCAGACAATACAAGTATGATAAGCATTCAGTTGCTCTATCCATTCTATCGGGCTCTTTTTCCCAGTGACTCTTCCAGCACAGTACTGAATAATCTATCCTGTGACTCAGAGATTTATTAGTGCACTTTCTATCTTAAGAGTCCATTTAGGGATCTGCAGTAGTATACTGGACGGTATCCCTTATTTGCCAATTAAGCCTAGAACCTGTTTTGGGGGGTTATCTACTAAATATCTACTTCCGATTTTATATACTTTACACTATATAAATTTATTCAAGCTGTTTTTTGTTTTTTACCTTTTGATACTTATGCCCTGAATCTATCAGGATACAACTGTGTGCTCAGTTACCTACAATTAGATGCTATCAGAGACCATTATAATAGGGGAGAGAAATTTCTTATGCTATCCACTGTCAGTTTTCCCGATCATGACTCTATTTCATCTGGGGTCTGCTGTGGACTTCCCAGATACTCTCTGACAAGCCATACACCTATTTGATCCTGCTGTACTTAGAGCCACACAGACAGATTTACATTACTTTGAGCTTGACTAGTTATAAGATATACCCATTCTGTTGCCACTTGGCCAGTACGACTAGGGTTACCTTATTGCATCTACCTATGTATACACTGCATATCTCCCCTTAGATACTGTTTCCACTTTATCGGGACTGGACTGGAATCGGGTGTGTCTCTTTGCAGACCTGTTTCAAGTCCTCTCTATTATCTCTTTTCTCTGGGTTAGGCCCTTTATTACCCCACAACCACTACACATTTGGTGGGAGCTTCTCTCTCTCTCCAGTTTTGTATATCATACATATATATATATATATATATATATATATATATATATATATATATATATGGTAGATTTGACCAGGATCTCCCTCAAAGCCTGTACATGGTATATGGTCAAATCTACCATATATGAAGGTCCGCCAATTGAATTCTTGTTGGAATTTCTAATGATTGCACTTACATGCAACTATTTTAAATTTGAAAACCAATTCTATGTGCAAGTATCTGGCACTGCGATGGGGGCGGCAATGGCACCATCATATGCTAATGCCTTTATGTACATTTTTGAATGTGATCATATTTTGGAAAAATTTGGACAACATATTCAACATTATTATCGGTTTGTAGATGACCTGTTCATGATTTGGACAGGTACCAGGATAGATCTGGAACAAATGATTCATGAAATAAATCAATCTTCTACACCTGTTATACTGAGTTATCAAATTGATGAAAAATCAATTCAATTTTTGGATGTCACCATCTATAAAAAAGAAAACAAATTGGAATTTACTTTATACCGTAAAAATACGGATCGTAATACTCTCTTATCTGCCTCCAGTTTTCATCCACAACAACTTAAGAAATCACTCCCGGTCTCCCAATTCTTAAGGACATTAAGATATAATACAGAAACCGAAAAACGAAGAGCCCAATTGGAAGAAATGTGGGAGAGATTTCGTATGCGAGGTTATCGTCCACAAACTCTCCAAATAGCACAAACTAAAGCTTTGAATATATGGAATCAAGAAAGATTGAATGATAAAACTAAGAAGGTACCAAAAGAACCAAAAATGTATCTTCCCATGACTTTTCACACTGGAACATCGAAAATTAGACAATCTATCCAAAGACATTGGGATATATTACGTTCAGATAAATCACTACCTCATACATTCATGAGTTCCCCTGTTATTGAAAGGTAAATCTGCTACTCTGGTGACTCGGTCCCTCTGGTCACTATTCTCCAACCCTCGATTGTCAGCTGAATATTCAGGGAAGATTTTTATGGAAGCGCATTAACCAGACACACACTCTTTGCTTTCCATAATCTTCTGACAATGTATTCAAAATGCTCTGTACTTATACAATATTTGTCACAAATATTGGTTACAAAAGGTTACAAAAAGGTTACACAAGATACATAAAAGAGGAAGCAGTTTCTGCTGTTACATTCAATAATCTAATCTTACAAAATATCACATACACATTGTGGTTAGGCATTTCCTGATACATAGAAACTGTCATAGTTTGTGACTTCCTTTCAGTTATGTTTTGCAAGTAGTTCTGAAATACTGACAGATTAATTGTTTAACCCCTTAAGGACCAAATTTCTGGAATAAAAGGGAATCATGACATGTCATGTGTCCTTAAGGGGTCAATATTCCTTCAGTTATCAGTTACAGAAGAAACAAAAACTTAAAGGACCTTCTGGTGAAGAGTGACCCAGAAATTTGCTACCGTAAACCGAGGAGTATTGTGAAGAAAGGTTGTTATAAATGCAGTGGATGTGTGACATGTAGTCACATGGTCAGTGGCACGACCTTTGCTCATCCCCATAGCGGTCAGAGAATTAAAATATCTCATTATATCACGTGTACCACTGACCATGTGATATACATGATCACATGTCCCTGCGGACTTTCGTACGTTGGCAAAACCGACTTGACGTTGAGAGACCGCATAAGGGGACATCGGTCGACCATAACAACAGCATTTAGAGATCAATATAGCGATAAGCCAGTCGCTAAACATTTCCTACATATGCAACATAGACTTCCTCTGTTACGTTTCACGGCTATTGATCATGTCCCCCCAATGTCCAGAGGGGGTGACAGATCAAAGAAACTACTTCAACGTGAGGCACAATGGATCCATCGGCTGGACACAGTGACACCAAGAGGACTCAACGAGAATATTGTGCTCTCTATGTTTCTTTAATAATAATGTTCTTTGAATAATCATATGGTTTCCCTTTTTCTCTAAGTATATTTGTGATCCTTATTGGTTTTTTGGAGCCTTTATTCTAATGGCGTTTTTTTTCCCTTTTTTAGCCTGCTAGTTTTTTTTTTTTTATGTTATAGATTGCTTCAGCTAAATGCCTTCTAAACTTGACATGGTTGGTGAAATGTTTTTAACATAACATTCTTTATTTTTTTGATCACTTCTTTAGATATATGGTGACACTTTACACAGTATATTTGATCTTATGATCTTTGTTTATTTTTTTATATTAGGCTGCATTTTTGCGGATTTATGCACTCTGCACTTTAATCAGATTTCATCAATAGATTGATATTAGACATTTCACTTGCACATCTATGAGATATTTACCGATCTTATAATTAATTGTTTTCCTATCGGTATCTTAGCAACACCACATGATCACTTATGCATGGATCATGTGATCGTGGGTTCTATTTCCGGTTTCACTTCCGGGTGTGCACGGAGGGATTCAGGGGGTTCTTCACAGATTGGTGAGTACTTCTTTTTATGTCCTATATAAATGGCTTGTAAGCACAGGTACATTGACCTTGAGAAAGACCCGAATGGGTCGAAACGTCGGCAAACTTTGATGTTATACCTGCTGGAATAAATTAACTATTTTTTCAAAGTCCTGAGAGTGCATCTCTTTATCCTCTATATATTTTATCTACATGGGATTGCACCCAGGCGATATTGAGCTACACATTTGAAAGGGTGAGTGCCAAGAAAAACATTGTTTTATATATATATATATATATATATATATATATATATATATATATATTTATATATATATAATTTTTTTATGCTCTCAATATGTTGACTTGATCAAAACCCCTTGTGTTAGATAAATTATATTGCTTTTGTTTACTTTGGAAGTATGAGGGGATTTGAACCTCATGGATTGGGAATATTCTGCTGGTGATGCATGGGCCCACTGAGCTGTCTTGCTGGCTTAACTTTATATCTGCTAAGTCAACTATGTAACCTTGCTTTTATCCAGCTATTTTAAAATTTTGTCCACTTCCTGTTAACGTGTCCTTTGAATCATGTCAAGTGACCTCATTTGGGATCAAAGGTCAAATATGACATCATTTTGGCACCAAAATTATTCAATTAGCCAAATGTTTGAACCCTCTATAAACCCATATGTGCGAGGCTAATACTATGTACACTTGAAGGAGCCCCATGTTTGGGGTTGTGTGTGTTTTAATATTGTTTTTAAGCATTAACGTTTATTTGGCTTACACCTATTTTATAGTGCAGGACCCTTTATTATACTTTTTATGACTTTTATTGTTTTTTTTAATTGTTTCTGACACATTTAAAAACTCCTGAAGTATCTACTCCACTCTACATCCAATTCCTGACTAGGATTGCCCTCAGGGGAATCTATTTAACATTATATCCTTGGTGGAGATCATACGACCCAAGCTGCACTACTAAATGTGAGTATATTACCATTTATAATTTTACCTGTTTTGAGTGTTACACAGTACGCACTATTGTTTGCTTTTTATGTTTTACTATTTTATATTCACCTGGATTCTGTAAGACTTACCTCTAAGGAGCTTTAGACTTAATTCACACAGTATTTAGCACAACCTGGTTTTTATGCTTTGTGTTGTTTTGCTTCTTTTTAGCTGGGGGTATTCCTTACTTTCAGTGTTTGCAGCTTAATTTACTGTTTATATTGATTCCTTAGCGCTTATCCTACCTTTTGTATGTATTAATTAATACCTGAATATTATCCCTTAATAACCCTTTAAATAGTTTTCCAGCCACAGAAGTTAAGCTCACAGGTCTATAATTTTCAGGTACGGATTTTGAACCCTTTTTAAATATAGGAACCACTTCTGCCTCCCTCCAATCCTCCAGTACGATTCCTGAAAGAAAATAATCTTGAAAGATTAACCCCTTAAGACCGGAGGGCGTACTATTATGCCCTATTTTAGGCGGCTCTAAACGCCCTCCGGTCTTTTATTACTAACCTGGTCGCCCGCGGTCCCACACCAGCGATCGCGGTTGGGGGGACTCCCAGGGAACCCCCCGCGGCATGTCCGACCCCCTGGAAGCCCCCCCGTCCATGTGAGAGTGAGGCCCTCGCAAGGACCTCACAATCACATGGCCGGGATAGCTGGCTGCAGCATTGCCAGCAGGGGGACTGCCTGTAATGACAAAAGTGTAAAAAAAATTATAATATATACTTAGATCATATATATATTATATATATATGATCTAAGTATATATATATATATATATATATATATATATATATATAGATACACATATACATACACACACACACTGTCTAGGTGTATTTTACTATTACTATATATATAATTATATATATATATATATATATATAAATATATCAAATTACACGTAGACTGATACTGATTAAATATATATGTATAATTATTGTTATATATATATATTTATATATAATATAAAAAAATTAAATATGTAAATACGTTAAAAAATAAAATAAAAAAATAAAAAATAAATAATTAAAAAATATATAGATGTGTGTTATTTCATTCTAACTGTATTGTGATATTAATATATAGATATATTTATATCAAAATACACGTAGAATGAAATAATATATATATCTATATACATAAATATATACGTATATATCACTATATATATATATACCTATATATAAATAAAAATATTTAAAAAAAATTATATATATATATATAAATATATATTCACATACGTATATATACATATATTAATTCTACATATATATTTATGTAATATTTTTACATAATTGGGTATCTTAATTAATTACAATTAGCGGGACCTGCCTGACAACCCATGCCGAAAGTAAAGGGAATTTAATTTACTAGCACTATATTTAACCCTATAACTTTCCAAGACACCATAAAACCTGTACATGGGGGGTACTGTTCTACTCGGGAGACTTCGCTGAACACAAATATTAGTGTTTCAAAACAGTAAAATGTATTACAACGATGATATCGCCAGTAAAAGTGAAGTTTTTTGCATTTTTCACGCACAAACAGCACTTACACGGACGATATTATTGCTGTGATACTTTTTACTGTTTTGAAACACAAATATTTGTGTTCAGCGAAGTCTCCCGAGTACAACAGTACCCCTCATGTACAGGTTTTATGGTGTTTTCAAAAGTTACAGCGTCAAATATAAGGCTTGTGTTTCATTTTTTCACATTAAAATTCGCCAGATTGGGTACGTTGTCTTTGAGACCCTATGGTAGCCCAAGAATGAAAGTTACCCCTATGATGGCATACCATTTGCAATAGTAGACAACCCAAGGTCACAAACACTGGCCAAAATTGGCGTTTTTTGCATTTTTCACACACAAACAAATACTAACGCTAACTTTGGCCAGTGTTTGTGACCAAACGGCTACTAAAAAAGACTGGACATATCCCATTTGCAATACCTTGGGTTGTCTACTATTGCAAATGGTATGCCATTATGGGTGTAAATTTCATTCCTGGGCTACTATAAAGTCCCAAAGGCAACGTAACCGTAATCTGGCGAATTTCAATTTCAAATGTAACGTGCTATATTTGACCCTGTAACTTCCCAAAACGCTATAAAACCTGTACATAGGGGGTACTGTTTTACACGTGAGACATCACTGAATACAAATATGTCTATTTTATTGCAGTAAAAGCAAACAGTATTATGACATTGACAGTCATGTAGAACAAAAAAATAAAAAAATATTATTTTCTCCCATTCTTTTCATATTAAATTATGTTTCATAGCTAAATATTTGATATTAAATGAAAGCCCTGTTTCCCCTGAATAAAATGATATATGATAAGGGTGGGTGCATTTAATATGAAATAGGTGAATTACGGTTGGACAGACATGTAGCGCAAATGCCAGGTTTTGTTTACATTTTGTTTCGTTCACAACGTGTACATTTGGCTCCGTCCTTAAGGGGTTAAAAACAAAATAATAATATTCTATCACACACATTTAACTGTTCTATTTTTATTTTGTAGGGTCTGTCGAGTGCTATGGTGTGTATTGGCAGTTTTTATTTCCAATTTAGATTAACAATGTTGATAAGATATGAAGAGTTAAACATTGCAAATTATTGTGATGCTTTTGTGTAATGTCTCTTTAATTGGAACTCAACTGCAGAAACAATAAGTTTCACCTCCTTTATTTTATTGAAGTGAACAAGATAGACTGTATCTTTAAATACACATGCAAGGAAAAAATGCAATGCTTATTTGTCAACAGAGAGGTTAAAGAAATTAAAATACTATAATAAATTAATATGACTTGCTTTCCTTGGCAAAAGTTTTACTTAACTTAGAAGCACTCTGGCACTGGAAGGGTTAATTCACCCAATGGAGGAAGAGGAAGGAGTCCCTTTTAACAAACTGCAG